AACCTTTTCAGACAGTTCGGAATTCTGCTTTGCCGAAAGCTGTCAGAAATTCACGAGGAAGGATGTCTTAAGAATGAACTTAGAACAAACATTACTGAATCAGTTCAACATGAAGAAGATAAACCAACTCCAGTGAAGACTGACACCTCGACTGCAGTTGATGAAAGTATTTCACAAATGAAAGGATCTCAAGAATCGAGTGAACAATTTACTATTCCAAGCAACGTCGAGAAATTCAGCATCGGATTTAATTGGAACACAAACTGTTGACCAAAGACTGGCGAAGATGTCAAGAAACAGGAAGAAAAGGTTGACTGACGAAAGGGTGTTTGCCAGCGAGTCCAGCAAGGGAATAGCCATTCCAATCAAGACTAGAGGAGTCTTCTTTAACGACACTTTCTTGAGGACACTTGGAAGGACTACCAGGATGCTGTGAGGGACGTGGTGATCAAGTGGGAGACTGCTCTACTTGTGACGACTTAACCTGCTACAGGAAGTTAAGAACTCGTGACCTGAAGGACGAGAACCAAGCTGTCAGGTCCTCCGAAGACGAATCTAATTATAAGGTAATTATAATTATTACATTAATATGGAAATGCTAAGCCCGCAGGGCTTATACAGTACTTAAGAATGAGAGTTAATCATGTTCAATTACTGACCAGGTCATCAAGACAACACTGGAGGGCCAACTGCAGGTTTGAGCTGTCTAAATACAATACGTACAAATGGTTTCCCATTCCCCTCTGTTAAACCATCTCTTCAACTAAATTTTAACACATTTTTGTATTTAAACTTAGCTGTCAGACTCTGGTCGGCAATACCTTTTTGTAAGCTACAGCTGTATACAGTGTTCTTGTCTAAGACTATTTAGTACAACCGAAAACGTAGCATAAGTAAGAGAGATGAAAAAAAAAATCAACATATTACTCACTTAACTTATATTCTTTGTTCTCTCAGGTTGTTGTTGATGTGCAGGACTTCATGAAGGGTGGAGAGATCAGCGTGAAGGTTGAAGACGCCAGGGAGTTAGTGGTGGAGGGACATGTGCAGCAGGAGGCTGGCGGCGCTAAGTCTCTTAAACATTTCCTACGTCGTTTCGTTCTTCCAAGCGAAGTAGTGGTCGAGTCTGTGACTTCGGTCATGTCTTCAGACGGTGTCCTCACCATCACCGCACCAAAAACAGTGAGCTGAAAATCTTGCGATTTATTGTAAACAGTACACTGCGGAAGTTCAGCACAATAAATTACAAACTAGGTTTTGCACTAAACGTGAAGCAGCTTGCGTAACTAAACCTGTGTGTTATACTTGAAATAAGATTTTTTTTTTTATACTTAGAAACTAGAGGTTATTATCTGTGTTATACATAGGAAATTAGGTTTGCTCCAAGGCAGGAAAGACTAGCTCTAATTTACTGATCACACTTTAAAATATTATTTCTTTTTTAGAGCTCAAAAGCTCCACTTTAAGGACGATGGTGTGAAGCAAAGTGAGAGCGTGAGAGACTCAACAGAGCAGGTGGTGAGGCTGGACGCCGGGGTGACCAACACACAGTCATCAGCTGACAGATACACTGATCACTCGAGGGAGTCATGTAGCACTGTGTCAACCTCATCACAGTCGTCGGTACGTCATGACCTGCCTCCTCTGGAAATATAAACAAATATGCAGTATAATGTGATCCTTTATTGACAACGTTTCGCCCACACAGTTGGCTTTTAAGTCACAAACAGATCTACCTGGATGGAAGGTACACGAGTATTTATAGTCAGGTTCAGAATGCTGGGTCAGGTGGAGAATGCTGCATCTGAGATCTACCAGTGGGGTTATAGAGATCATCAGATGCAGCATTCTTCAACTGACCCAGCATTCTAAAACCTGACTATAAATACTCGGCGTACCTTCCACCCAGGTAGATCAGTTTGATTTGAAACGTTGTCAAAAAAGGATCACATTAAACTGCATGTGTGTTTATATTTCCATTGTTGTCGGTATTTTATACCATTTATTTCCACCTGCCTCCCTATTACTTTGTTTTACTCCTTAATAATGTCAAAAATGTTATAATAATAAAATTATTTTTATTCTTATATTCAGTTGGATCAGAAATTCATCTCAACTTACCTATGATCAGAGAAGAAACAAACCTGGTCCTTTTTGCTTTATTTTGGGTGGTTTTAAATACTTACCGAAGAAATTTATTTACTTTCCAGGCGATCCAGTGCAACTTACATCACAAGCCCAATTTGAAAAAGCGAGCGAGATAACTGTGGATACTCGGGAAGAAAGAGCAGAGAACGCACAACACAAGTCTGGTGCTTCCCAGGAAAGTAGGATTAACTTTGACGACGCTGACACTAAACAAAAAAGGGCAGCTGAGAAGAACTGCACCTTCCTCGAGGAGAGTGACACCCGAAAACCGTCCACCGACGACTGCAAAAGGAGAGTCGTGCCAAGAGTGAAAGTGACGATGACATGGAAGCAGGATCTAGCACGAAAATAAGGAATACTTGGATGTAGACCCCGCCTACAAAAACAGACTCCCTTAACAAAAGACAAGAGGGCTCTTCTTCGACGACTCTTTCTTCCTAGAGTCCCGCCCGAACTTTAAGACTGCTGTGAAAGATGTGCTGAGGAAGTCCCCGAAGAATTCTCCCCGACGACGATGTACTCTGCATATCGAAATTTGCGTCTCAGGGATCTCAAACCTGGGGAACCAGGCAGTGCACGTCCGACGATGATCGGGTACACTCAGATGGTAGGGGTCCACTGTGCTGATGTCACTAGTTACTAAGATTATTTACGCATAGTCTGGTACTAACGTCAAAAAAAATTTTGAAAAAAAAAAATAATCAGTTAAATATTTGAATACTGATTTTGTATTAAGTTAGTCACAATATTCAAGTATTTGTCTTTGACAGTAATCATATCTACTGTTATTTTCAGATACTTCTTGATGTGTATGATTTCCTGGGAGGGGAGGTGACAGCGAAGGTAGTGGAAGGGAAGGAGCTGGTGGTGGAGGGACGAGCACAGAGACAGTCAGGAACTTCCCTCACTATACTAAGCTTCCTCAGACGCTTCCCTCTCCCTGACCGCGCCGACCTGACGGCCATCATGGCTGTCATGTCCTCAGACGGTGTCCTTCTCATCATTGTTCCAAAACTGAAGAAGTACTCGAAAGATAAGGCACTCAACAAGGAAGCTTGTATTGAACGACATTCGAGAATGGACGTTGACGTAGGGCGTGGTTTGAGGGAGAAGAACGTGAGAGAGTCCTCCAGGGAATCTGAAGGCCGCAGTCTAGGGTCATTCCTCTCAACTGGGCTGCGACACTCTCCTGAACTGTCATCTTTCAGAAAGGAAATGTCTACAGACAGTCAGCACTCACGGATGGACAACTTCAGCGACACAGGACACTCTTGGGATGATAGGAAGATGCAAGATTCCTCCCGTGCCTCCAGCAGCGCCTCCAGCAGCACCTACCAACACTCCACAGACTTGTTCTAAATATTTGACTGCCAGTGATATGCCAACGTTTTAAAATTAATTAATGACCTTTGTTTTAAAAAATGTGATGCAATGAAGATAAACTGTTCATTTTGTTACAATCAGTTGTTTTTTAAATTATTTAAAAAAATATATATAAAAAGAATCCACATGACAGTCTTCATCAGGAGTTACAACTAGCAGTAAACAAACAGGTACGTGCTTCCTCTGTATTATAAAATATTATAAAGTATCTTATATAATGAAAAAACTTTAGCACCATGAAAAAGTATAAATTAAGTCATAATTTGAGGGTATACTGAATGGCTTCTATATCTTCCCACAGCTGCCATTTTCGTCCTGACGGCTCCGTCCTGTGCCTTTCAAGACAGATGACATTCCAAAAATCTTAATTTTATAAATTTTCATATTAGATTAAAAAATATTGTTGATATCTTCATGTTATGTTTGTGTAATTTATGCAGTTCTTTGCCAGAAGCGTTGTCTTATATACAAAACTTATTTTTGTTATTCAAAGATGAGAATTTTATTTTCTTCGATATATCCAAATGATTATTGTAAATTAGTATTTTTTAAGGATAATAAATCTAATTAAAAGTTAAGAGTTGATCCTTGCAATTAACACAATGAAATTTTGGAAGATTGAGAAACGAACTTACACACTTAACAATAAGTGGAAGGATGTGTAAAAAAATGATGATAACAAGAAGTGAAGATAATAAAAGACTAGAGAGGCCTGAGCTTGCTACCATCTGCAGCTCATCAGACTGCCATCCCCACGAGCCCCTTTGAGGCGGGGTAGATGGCAGACCAGAGGCCTAGCTTCTCCCTACGAGCCCCGTGAGGGCGGGGGAAAGTGCTAGGCCTGGGGACACTTGGGCCCAAAGATGAGGTACTTGTACCTCCTCCCATGGGAGACTTAAGTCTCGAGACACTCCCCAGATAGGGAGCTAAGGCCGGGTCACCACTACTTGGAAAAGACCCGGGCCGGAAGAATACCCGGCGAAAAAAAAAAAATAAAAGACTAGACATAACACTGCGAAGAAGAGCAAATAAATACAGTTATATACTAGCAGAAAAACCAGCATTGTCCGGTCAGTCTTCATTTCTCGTAAGAAAAAAGAAAAAAAGAAGTCCCCTCAAGAAAGGTTCCTTGATGTTGGTGAGGGGCTCTTGATTTAGGGAATTGGATCTCTGCTCCAGTTCCCTGAATTAAGCCTGAATGCCTTCCACATTTCCCCCCCCCCCAGGCGCTGTATAATCCTCCGGGTTTAGCGCTTCCCCCTTGATTATAATAATAATAATAATCGAAAAAAAATTTATAAACGTTGGCTCTAAGACATAATAAATTTTCACTTGGAAAAAATTTTTAAATAAAATAATCAGGAAAGGCGGAATACAATTTTTCTAAGTTCAATATTAAAGGAATTTTAAACGATACTTGGAAAAGCCCGGGCCCGGGAAATACCGGCGAATTAAAAAAAAAAAAAAAAAAAAAAGATATACAGTGAACATATGCGGTAAAAATTTAGTCCCGAGGCAGGAGTTCTCAAAAAAAATGCGGAACGTTGTACAGTTTTTGAAATCAGTTTAAAAAAAGGAAAAGCATTGAGGAAAAATGCCCTTAATTTTGATGCAGAAAAAAAAAATTGCCCCCCCCAATTGGGGAGCGACCCCCCCCCCCCCCCACACACACAATGAAAATTCGTTTCTTAAAATTTTACTCCGGGTATAAAAAAGTTGTTCCCGAATAGGAAAAGAAATATTTTTTTTTTCATTTATGTTTATGAAAAAATTTAAAAATTTTGTACCAAAAGAACCTTAAAAAACTCCCTGCCCTTTAAACAAGTGAAATTTAATTTAGTTTTCAAATAAATATATTTATGAATTTACAAAAATTTAATAAAAAACACAATAAACTTTTTTTTCGTTAAGTCAAAATGTTTTTTGCTAATTATTGCAACACAAATTTTTCGCTTGCCCTTTTCGGGAAGGGGGGCTTTGCTATTTAACCAAAAATCGCCAATTTACTTATTCGGCACGACATATTATTTTTTAACTTTCCCAAAAACACGAGCTCACTTCCATGTGTTCAAACCCCCACCCAATTGGTTTATTTACAAATTTATCTCTCGGCCCGATTCGAACCTGCATACTCGCATCACTACGCAGTAATTTAAAACTACAGAGTCAGATCCTTTATGGCTTTGTGGATAAAGTACTGTATATCTTGAGCAGGGTGTGCAGGGTTTAATCTTGCTGTGGATGATGAAAAGTGTCGTGTATATTTTTGGGAAAATGGGTTTAAAATGACCTGAACCCTGGGTTATACTCTGCCCGAAGGAAGGAAGAAAAGGAAGGAAGGAAAGGGAAAGGGAAAAAGGCTTTGGGAACAATGATTGTCTTGTCATTCTCCAAGATATCAAGGGACCTTTCCCTTCTCTTCTCTCTCCCCCTTCCCCTTTCCCTTTCTTTAGAGAATTCAACTTTTAAATGTCCAGAAATTAAAGAAGTTTTTTTTTTTAAAAAAACAACAGATACATAAACCATAAAAAGAAAAAAAACCAAGCTGACAAATTTGCAATAAAAAAAAAACAACGGGCGACAAATTTGTACACCTCAAAAAAAAAAAAAAAAACATTTAACACATTTATAAAAAAATTCTACTGAAATAAACCCAAAACCCGTTTAGGAAAAAAAAAAAACATCCCATTTCCCAAAAAAAATTTGGAGTCTTTATAAAAAAATGTAGGAATAAGCCATAAACATATATATGTATATAATACCATCATAACCAAGTGATTGGGACAGTGTCGTACAAACAAAACCGGATTTTACAAAAATAATACGCAAATAATTGCACAAAAGAAACTAGAAATTATTACATCCACTACTAGAAAATGTCCCCAAGACATTTGGTTTTCCCCCAAACCACAACACCACCAAAGTAAAAGTTACCCATTAACTTCAATTAAAAATATACCTTCCACCAAATAGAAGGGGGATTAAAAAACCCCCTAAAATACTTATATAGTCTCATAATATTTATAATAACCCCTTCAAATTTTACAATAAGAAAAAGCGTAGACAAGGATAAAGCATCACAACGAATATTAAAGCATATCCTCACATAACATATGAATTAACCCCTATATAAAGGTTCTTATAACAATAAAAAAAAAAACAGAACATGCATACAACTTTTAACTCGTGGTTTTACAAAATTCTAAAGGGTTGCATCCCGGAGCCCCCGCTCCCTGCAAAAAAAAACTTTACCCACATCAAACCCTTTCAACCAGTCAACCCCCTTTCCCCCCAGGCACCAATCACTCCAAAAAGACACCACGAAGAGACCCAACCCCTTTCCTCTCACCCCCCACCAAACTGATGACGTTTTAACAGTAAGTCTACGATATAAGAACATAAAAAACATAAAACAAGGAACACTGCAGAAGCCTACTGGCCCATGCGAGGCAGGTCCAATCTCCTACCCGGGTTAACCAATGCACCCAACCCAGTCAGGTCAGGGGCACATTGTTAAGGGGGGAACACGGAACCGACCCGGTAGCCCCAAAGCTATCAGGTCAACTCACACCCACCCCCATCCCTCAGTATTTATCCAACCATTTTAAAGCTACACAACGTTCGGGCCCCTATAACGGGCTTTTGGGGGTTTGTTTCCCCTCATCCACAACTCATTACCAAACCGTACTTTCCTATATCCTTCCTGAATCTAAATTTTTCCAACTTAAAACCATTGCTGCGAGTCCTGTCTAGGCAGATTTTTTCAGCACACTATTTACTCCCCTTTATTTATCCGTTCTTCCATTTATACACCTCAATCTATCCCCCTAATTTTACGTCCCTTTTTAGAGAGTGCAGATTCAGGGCCCTTAGTTCTATCCTCATAGGGAAGGTTTCTGATACATGGGATCAACTTTGTCATCCTCCTTTGTACATTTTCCAGAGAATTTATATCCATTCTGTAATAAGGTGACCAAAACTGTGCAGCAAATCCCAAATGAGGCCTAACCAAGGATGTATAGAGTTGAAGAACAACCTAGGACTCCTTTATTTATGCTCTTGATATGAAGCCAAGGATTCTATTAGTTTTAAATTGCGAACACTTATGCACTGTTGTCTTGGTTTCAGATTACTGCTAACCAGAACTCCTAAATCTTTTTCGCAATCCGTAATATTAAGATCTACATTATTTAGTTTAATGTGGCATGGTTATTGTCCTGCCCAACATTTAAAAACTTTGCATTTGTCTAATTAAACTGCAACTGCCACTTCTCCGACCACTGCATCAGTCTATTCAAATCTTCCTGGGGGTGTTTCGAATGTCCTCGTCAAAATGAATTCGACGGCCTATTTTGGTGTCATGGGCAAACTTGCCGATGACGCTCTTTTTTGGCCCTCACTATGTCGTTTATGTAGATTGTGAACAGCAGGGGCCCAACACTGACCCCGTGGAACACCGCCGTGACACTTCCCCACTCTGATTTCTCCCCATTTATGCAAACTCTCTGCTGCCTATTTGTCAACCATGCCTCTATCCAGGAAAAAATTTCTCCCCCTATTCCATGTGCTTTAATTTTCCTCAATAGCCCTCGATGTGGGACCCTGTCAAAAGCCTTACTGAAGTCCATATACACAATCATATTCATTACCATGATCTACCTCCTCAAATACCTTAGTGAAAAAAGTTAATAAATTCGTAAGGCAGGAACGCCCCTTTGTAAAACCATGCTGAGATTCGTTGATTAATTTATGCTTTTTCAAGTGGCTACGAACTGCCTGGGCAATTATTAAATTCCATAAATTTTCCCACTATGGGGGTTGGGCTTATTGGTCTATAGTTCGAAGCTAAGGACCTGTCACCTGTTTTGAAAATAGGTAAACACATTTGCCATTTTCCACTTATCTGGCACCATGCCAGTTTGTAGTGATATGTTGAAAAGATTAGCCAAAGGTGTGCTAAGCTCCTCTTACATTCCTTTAGAACCCTTGCATACAGTTCATCAGGGCCTGGGGATTTGTTAGGTTTTAATTTATCTATTTGCCTAAGGACCATGTCACTTGTGACCCTAATAGTACACAGTTTATTATCGTCCTGTTCTACATAATTTATCATTACTGGAATATCGCTGGTATCCTCCTGTGTAAAAACTGAGAGGAAGTATGTGTTAAAAATTCTACACATTTCCTTATCACTGTCAGTGAGCTGACCCGAGGAACTTTTGAGTGGGCCTATCTCGTCCCTGATCTTACTTCTGTATACCTGAAAGAATCCTTTTGGGTTAGTCTTCGATTCTCTTGCAACTTTAACCTCATAATCTCTTTTTGCTTTTCTAATTCCCTTTTTTATTTCTCTCTTTAACTGAATATATCGATTTCTCAATTGCCCCTCTCCTCTTTTGATTTGCCTATATATGCCTCTCTTTTGACCAATCAGATATTTTAATCTATTGTTCATCCATTTAGGATCATTTTTGTTTGATCTGATTTCCCTATTTGGAACATAATTTGACTGAGCAGCTAGAACTATGCCTGGAAAGCATCATATCGGCAACCATCACCACCTACCTGACCCTTAGTC